GGGGGGGGGGATGCTGAGGTGAGAATTATCATGAGTTTTAGACTATTCAGAGCTATATAGCTGATACCAGGTTAGCCAGGGCTGCATAGTGAAACCTTATCTTAAAAATAATTAATTGACTAATTAAATAATGTCTAGTAATGCTGATAGCTGTCATTTTGATTTTAATACATTTATTCTCTGTGTGGGGGTGTTTTGCTTGCATATATGTTTGTGTAGTACATGTGTGCCTGCCTGGTGCCCTTACAGGCTAGAAGAGGGTGTTAGATCCCTTGGAACTGGAGGTAAACATGGTTGTGTGAACCATGCTTTGTGGGTGCTGGGAATTAAACCTGGATCCTCTGGAAGAGCAGCCAGTGCTCTTAACTGCTGTGCTATTTCTCCGGTTCCTGTTCTTTTTCTTTTTTTAAAAGAAGTATTTATTTTGTTTCAGGTGTGTTTAATACGAACATACCAGATAAACCTTGAATGTTCAACCTCCATCTGTAGAGTAGATGATGATGTCATCATGGTGGGGTGCTATGCAATCTAAAAGTATTGTTTCACAGGACTATTTAATAAGTTCATAAAATGTTAACAAAATGTTATTAAATGGAAAAGCAGATATAATATGCTTTGTAGCATAACTTCACTTATCAAAGAAGGTTTAAAAATGCTTAAGGAAGCAATTCAGAAAAACATGCATTGGAATTATGTAGACTTTTGTAGGAAAGTTCAGTGGTGCCTCCTGATGCCAAAGAAATGGCTTCTGGTTTTGTTACTTGTTAGGAATATCTTCTTCTAAATTGAATATACAGTATTTTTGCTTTTTCAGACTAGATTAAAATACACTTACAATTCCCAGGTAAATAGCATTTGGCTGTTTTCCCATCCTAATGTTGTTAAATCAGTTGTTCGTGTTCTCAGCTACACAGAAATGGATCCTGTCATCATTGCATCTGAGGGAGTGGAGAAGTTCAAAAATGAACATTTTGAAATCATTATTGTTGATACAAGTGGTCGGCACAAACAAGAAGATTCTTTGTTTGAAGAAATGCTTCAAGTTTCTAATGCTATAGTAAGTAGCTTTCCATGGAACACCACTTAAAGGACTTCAATTTAACTATGAAGCCTGATTGAGTTTTTGGTGAATATAAGTTACTCCTTGCCTATAAGACATCTATTAAGTAATTTATTTCTGTTTTGGGGACCTATAACTCTGTGATAAGGACAATGTCATCATTTTTGGTCTTTAGTATAGAAAAATATAATGAAAAATTAAGAATTAACCTTAAATAGTTGTTGATTTTTTTTCTCATTACCTAAATTCAGTAGAAACAATTATTTTGAAGATTTTTCAAAATGAAGCATTAACATTGTCATTTAGTGTCTCCTTTCAAGCTCCTGAAAGATGGAGCTGAGCGTGGTGGCACATGCCTTTTATCCTAGTACTTGGGAAGCACAGATGGATCTCTGTGAGTTCAAAGCCAGCCTGATAACTTTATCTAGCTCTAGGCTATCCAGCCAAGGCTACACAGTGGGACCCTGTGTGTCAGTCACTGTTCTGTTGCTGTGAAAGAGACACCATGATTAAGGCAGCTCTTATAAAGGAGAACATAATTGGAACTGGCTTACAATTTCAGGGTCCATTACCATCATGGTGGGGATATGGTGGCACACAGGCTGACATGGTGCTGGAGAAGGAGCTGAGGATCCTACATCTAGATCTTCAGGCTGCAGAAGAAAGCAAGCCTCTGGGCCTGGCCTGGGCTTTTGAAATTTAAAGCCCACTCCCAGTGACACACTTCCTCCAACAAGGCTGTACCTACTCCAACATGGCCACACCTACTAATCCTTCTCAAGTAGTGCCATTCCCTATGGCAAAGTATTCAAATAAGTGAGGCTTTGGGGGCCATTCTTACTGAAACCTCCACGCTAACACAAAAATAAAATTATGAAAATAATGTAGAGGTAAGAAGCAGCTCAACACCTGTTGCATACATTAGAAATTCATGTTTGGTTGTCGGGATGTTGTCAATAACTCTTTGGTTAGTGATTGGTACTAATTAGTGTCTTTTTAGTGCTTCTGTTACATTGACAAATGGGAACAGATAAGGGACATGTCCTCAGTCTGTCACTGATTGTTTTCTGAATACACCCTTCCGCTTTGTACTTTTTCTGATTTACTTTTACTTTTCCTTTGCCTTCAGTATCTAAAGGTGTTTGCATAAATTCCTCCTCCTCTTCTAGTTCTTCTCTTCCTCCTCCTTCTTTTGTCCTCCCCCTCCTCCTTTCTCCTTTCTTTTCTTTTTCTTTATTTTTGAAACAGACCCCAGGTAGCCCTGGCTGTCCTGGAACTCACTCTGTAGACCAGGCTGGCCTTGAACTCACAAAGATCCACCTGCCTCTGCCTCCCAAGTACTGGGATTAAAGGCGGCGTGCACCACCACCTCCAGGCAGCTTTTCTTCTTTATTCAGGCCTCAGCTCAGAATAATTTCTGAAGATGTTACCATATTTTCTTCTATATATCATGGACTCAAAGCTTTTCTTACTCAAAGCTTTTCTTTATCAAGCCCTATATGCCACTTATGTCACGGTGCTCCCTTCCTCACTCAGTATTTATTAAATAATATTTATAGTAAGCATTCTATACATGCTCATGGTGACCTTTAATTAACACCAGTATAAACAAGTCTTTTTTTATTCATTCTCTCTAGCAACCGGATAACATTGTTTATGTGATGGATGCATCCATTGGACAGGCTTGTGAGGCCCAGGCGAAGGCTTTTAAAGATAAAGTAGATGTAGCTTCAGTAATAGTGACAAAACTTGATGGTCACGCAAAAGGAGGCGGTGCTCTGAGTGCGTGAGTATCGGTTGAAGCTTCACTGTTGTGGTGGTTAAACCCTTTGCCCTGTAAATCATTTGATCTATGCCCCGGGATCATGTGTGTATGTGTGTGTATTTATGAGTTTCTTCCTCTGCTTTTAAGACTATCTTAGTAATGAGTTGATATGATGCATAAAAGAGATTTAAGTGGAAACAATTTTGGAGCCTGTCTGATATAGTTCTAACTAGTGAAAAGAAACTTGAATTTTATACCTTTTGTCTGTTATCTTTGAAAAATCTTCTGGATGTTTGTTTTCTTTTTTGAGGTTATTATTATTTTTTTTTTTCTGTGTAGAGTTGCTGCCACAAAAAGTCCAATTATTTTCATTGGTACAGGGGAACATATAGATGACTTTGAACCTTTCAAAACACAACCTTTTATCAGCAAACTTCTTGGTAAGTTCAGTGTGGAATTATAGAACCATCTCAGATAGTATGGATCTTAGAGCAAATTAGAGTTTTAACCCTGTGCTTACTAACTAGCTCAAGACAGAGATTTCCTTCTGTGACTGACCGTTCCAACCTCTGTCTTACTTTTCATTCCTTGTTTCTTTAAAGGGCTGGGGGCCAGTGTGCTGCTGCGCTGCATCCCCAGCCCTCTGTCCTCTTTCCTGGGGTTAGAATGGTAAAGGGAGTTACTGGATGCAGAGCTTTTTGGAGGAGTTGGAGCACATTCTACAGAAACACGTAGTTAGAGTAATAGAAGTTGTAATGATAGCAAAACTTTTCTGTCCTCTTAAAGTGGTATAGTTAGTGAGCGTGGAGTTAGGAGGTCACCCCTGGACTGCTTTCCCTCATCTACACCTTTGCTTCCTCCTCAGCTTCAGTTTCTTTCATGTAAAGTATAGTAGATTATTGGACCAGCCTTGCAAACTGTTCCGTGTGTCAGTGTGTCTGCATCATGTGCAGGTGAGCGTGTTGTCAGCTGTTCATTTTCCGTTGGGTGTCTTGTAGGTATGGGTGACATTGAAGGACTGATAGACAAAGTCAACGAGCTGAAGCTGGACGACAACGAGGCGCTCATCGAGAAGCTGAAGCATGGTATACTGTAGCCGACAAGCAAGCATGTCATCTCAAGTGTGCTTCCTTCCTTCTGTCTCCCTTCCCTTTTGTGGTGCTGCGGGTTGAACCCAGGGCTTTGTGCATGCTAGAAGTGCTCTACAGCTCTCTACCTCCCAACCATTGCTTTTCGGAGAGACGTCTTACTGTGTACCTGAAGCTGGCTTCGGACTTCTGAGCCGCCTGCTTCTACTTGGGTTATAGGCGTGCGCTATCGAACTTTGTCTTGATTTCTTTTTCTTTTCTTTTTAAAAAGTTGGATGTGAGGAGAGTCAGTTTGTACATGTCCCACAGCACTCATGAAAAGGTTAGAGGATGACTTTGTAGATGAAGTTTGTTCCTTTCCACCTTTACATGGGTTCCAGGGTTGACCTTGGTTCACTGGGTTTGCAGGACGCGCACCTTTATCCACTGAGCTGTCTTCCCAGCCGTCTTTTGATACATTTACTATTCATTCATTAGAAACGATGATGCCTGTAATTAGAGTCAACTTTTTAAATCCTTCTTTGAAGCTGGGCATAGTGACATATGCCTTTAATCTCTTTGTGTTCCAGGCTAGCCTGGTCTACAAAGTGAGTTCCAGGCTATGCAGGGCTGGACTCTGTCTCCAAAAAAAAGAGGTCAAATGCTTGTTTTAGATGATTTATATGCAAATCATTTTAATTCTTGGGCATCTGAGCAGCTACTGAATTAGTTTTGTTATCTTATAATCAAATTAGCTGAAAGTTGAAATAGAAGCTTTTATTTTCATTCTTGAAACAAAACCAGCTGAGAATTCAGAATATACTTAGTATATATATATATATATATATATATATATATTGACACAGGGTTTTGTATCCTGGGTTGGTCTGAAATACCGTTTGCTTTTGCTGCTGCCTTTCAAGTACTGAGATTACAGGTGTGCTGTCACACTTGGCCGTGTGTGTGTGTGTGTGTGTGTGTGTGTGTGTGTGTGTGTGTGTGTCTCTGTGTGTGTGTGTGTGTCTGTGTGTGTGTGTGTGTGTCTGTGTATAGTTTTTCAAGACAGGGTTTCTCTGTGTAGACCAGGCAGGCTATCTTTGAACTCACAGAGATCTGCCTGTCTTTGCCTCCTATGTGCTGGGATTAAAGGTGTGTGTTACCATTGCCTGGGTTTTTGGTGGTTTTGAGAGGAGGTCTTGCTGTACAGCCCTAGCCAGACTAGAACTCACTATGTAGACCAAACTGGTCTTCATTTGTGGCAGTTCTCTTCTTCCCTCTGCCCTCTGGGGTTAGAAGGCTGCACGGTGCACCATACCTGATCTATAGAATATATCTTTTTTAATCTCTTCCCAATTATGTGTGTATATAATAAACTGTGTAAAAGGAAGTTTAAAAGGATGAGATTAAGAACACATATATAGACCCTTTCTTCACATCATTCGAGTGGAAGACCACTTCCGTATCACTGTTCAAGACTCAGATTCTTTCACTATGGAACTTCAGCTTTATCTATAAAAAGTAGGTGATGGTACTGATGTGGTTATGACGATCACATAGCAAGAGTTACATGAACACTTAACAAGTGAGGAATGACCATCCTGGCTTTTCTCAGACCTTTTTTGTTAATTCCTGTGTTTGTGTACTATTCTGCCTTTCCCTTCCTTCTCCTTCATTTTGTACTCCTGTGTTTGCCTCTCAAATGTTGGTGTTTTTTTTTTTTTTAGGCATCATTGGAGGCCACCTCTTTCTTTCAAGCTTCAACCTTATTAATCTGTATGTTTACTAAACCATCTTTCCACTGATAAGTTCCATAATACCTCACATTCAACATATTGTTATCTTCCACCCTACTCTTGAACACTTCCCTTTTTGTTTGTTTATTTATTTTTTGAGACAGGGTTTCTCTGTGTAGCTTTGCGTCTTTCCTGGAATCTGCTTTGTAGACCAGGCTGGCCTTAACTCAGAGATCCGCTTGCCTCTGCCTCCCAAGTGCTGGGATTAAAGATGTGCATCGCCACTGCCTAGCTCACACCACCATTTTTATCAGTGAGTGTTAACAACATTTGCCTGTGTCTGGAGTCAGAAA